ATGTAGTGGTTAAAACAAGAGGGAATGGGAGGGTGGATTGCTAACAATCAGAAAAGAGATTTGACAGTCGTTAGGAGAACGAAAGGTGGAAAGAAAGAGCGCAGGACAAAAAGACAGAGGAGGAAAGAAAGAAAAAGAGAGAAAAAGAGAGAGGGAGAGAATGATTGACATATGTATTAAAATGTACAGAAATACATCCGGGCATTTTAAGTGGTCTTAAAATGGGGGAAAACATTTTTTTTTTGCTGCTTTAAGTAATGCATTAATAAATAATGCAACTATATTTAAAAAAAAGAAGCCACGAACAGCCTCACCGTAACGAATATGTCATGTTATATCATTACTCAACATTTTTGTCGTGTTGTAGCTTCTGTTTTGTTCAAATATATTTTAAATCTCGCAGTTTCCCGATGGTCGAACGCATTAAACACGTGACTTTAATTGACGCCGACAGGATCCGATTTTTTTCTTTTTCTATGAAAAAATGAATAAATATGACTAAATCCATTTTGGCGTTATTTTAGGCGAGTTTATTGTAAGGAAAAAGTTGATAGGGTTATTTTTATTCCGGTTTAGATGTAGCTATATTCGATTAGCAAAAAATAAGCAAGAAGGAATGGAAAACAAAATGGCAGTAGAATGTTTGTGTCAGGAAAAATTAGTTGTGGATGGAATTAGGAATGTTTTCAGGAAACATACGAAATTATGCCCTGATTACTTGCAGAAAAATCACAAAGTGCCCGAAATACGCTTGCAAAAATGCATATATTTAAATATATATATATATATATATATATATATATATATATACACACATGCCATCACATGCGCACACATTGGCACGCACACACTGGTATATGCCCTGACACATAAGCACAGAGAAGGACACATACATTTAACACACACACACACACACACACACACACACACACACACACACACACACACACACACACATATATATATATATATATATATATATATATATATATATATAAAAGACGCATATTTAAGATTTAAATACATGTACATGAAGATGTAATCTTTTACCTATTGGAATCCGAGATCGAGTTAGGCCAGTTACTAAGGGGTTCCTGTCCCCACCCCTAAAACCATTCCCTTCCCGTAAAAATGATTAATTTTAGTTTGTAATATCTTATGCGTAACTTCCCTGACTGAAAGTTCAACATTCCAACAACCTGAAGAAGGCCGAAGCGTATAACGGCCAAAACGTTTTGATAAATATGTCAACAAAGCTGAGGACAATAGTCCGAATAATGTAAATAATGTATGCCGTTTCACCACCAGTCAATTTCAAATTTAACAATAATTTTAGTAAATAGAAATTTTGCTTTCAAGTACTGTCGCCTCGAAGTTTAGATTTTCTTAGAATTCATTGTCCTGTTCCTTTCATAAGTCTTTTACCGAAACAATAGACATTTTTCCGATATATTGATGACAATCTATTAATAGATCCCCGTGGTACTAATCGGGTATGATCTTGTAGATAAACTTAACAAAGGCGATGGAATTTACGTCTGAAATGGAAACAAACATTACTTTTCCTAGATTACACTGCATTAATAGAAATCTTAATGTCCATTGCAAATCAACTAATAAAATGACCTCATAAATTCCTATTCTCATCATAACAAGAAAATAAAATCCAGAATATTTATCGGTTTCTATTTTAGAGCACTCAAAATTTGTAGCTCTCAGTATTTACATGAAGAAGAGAAATAAATAGCAAACACTTTCAAGCTCCTCCAATAGCTTAATTATTTCATATTCAACGTGAAACAAAAGGCTCATTAAATATTTCAAAATAGAAAAGTAACCCTACCTGATAAACCCAGTGAATCAAAATGTATTGTTCTACTCATCATCTTTATGACAACTACAACTGAAAAAAAATTAAACTGGATATAAAACTTGTTACAACTACTTTTAAAACAATAAAAGACTTAATCAATAAAAAAAAGAAGTTAAAAGTTGAATGAGAAATTTACACTATCACAATATTTATTACAATATAGTTTACCACAAGGAAAGTTTTTCTCTCCCGAGTCTCTCAAATCTATAAATCAACCATTTGCCCTTGCATGGAATACTGCTGCCGTATATGGTCGGGAGCCCCCACTGTTCGTCTTAGTCCTCGACTAAATCTAGAGACGGATATGCAATAGGAATGGCACTGATCTGGCATCTCGTTTACAGTCGCTCTCTCACAGACGTGCCGTTGCTTAACTGTCTTTTCTACAAATACTTTCACGGTAACTGCTGCGACGAGCTACTTTCTCTGGTTCCAAAACTGCATGAATTTAAACGTGCTACTAGGCCGGCATCTCAGTCCCAAACTTTCACTGTAAAAACTGTTAAATACAGCCGTCTCTTCTACTTCAATAGCTTCATGTCTCGCACTTTCTATGTGTGGAACTCCCTTCTTCTTACTTAATTTCTTGATAGCTATAATCTCCAACTATTCAAATGCAATGTCAATCAAACTCTTTAGATGCCTTGATCTAATTCCCTGTCCTTCATCCTTTCCTCTATCATGCCTCTTTACTCTTGCTCCCACTTTCTGTAACCCCTTGACTGCTAGTGGTACTCCCCCCTTGCTTGGGGTGAAAAGTTAAAAAAAAAAAAGAAAAAAGAAAAAAAAGGAATATATCGGAGAAACCTCAAGAAATTTAAATGAGAGATTATATGAACACAAAAGGGATATGTTACAAAACAAGACATTAAACGGATTATTTACTTAGCGGAACGAATCTGACCATAATTCTGATTAAAAATGCTGCACTAATTAAAAGAGGAAGTAATTTGTTATGTAAAAATGTTTAGAAAATGTTTTAATCGCTAGTTCATCCATATTAAATTTGCGTCCAGGTCCCTACATCATTTCATCATTCTTGGCAGAACTTCAGTTATCACAATGTGCGATATTTAATAACCAAAATGAAAGAAACATAAACAGAATACAAAAGAAACTAAATAAGATCAGCTAGACACAAACATATATATATATATATATATATATATATATATATATATATATATATATATATATATATATATATATATATATATAAAAAAAATTTAAGTTTTCAGCGATCCTTTCCTTCGTAAGGAATAGCGGCTCGGATTGAGTGATCGGAGAGCTGAGTTCGAATTCCAGTCGAATCCATTACATTCGCTTACGTACTAATACTGTTGGGAAAGGTATGAATCCTCTTTTTCTCTCGCCAGCTGCTATGGGTAAATAGCAGGACAGATGGGTTCTGTCTTGGTTGGCAACTGGTCGAGGAGAAGGACAACTATGTGTGTGCGTGTGTCTCTGTGTGTCTCTCTCTCTCTCTCTCTCTGTGTGTGTGTGTGTGTGTGTGTGAATTGCAAATAAAGTGCTGGTGTTAAATACTATATACTTAACGACGCCAGCTTTGCATTTAGACAGATATATCATTTAAATTCAATTTACGCAACGGTCAGCCCAAACGCAGCATCTGAAGATTGCGTTTTGCATGAACACCGAGTCGAGCGAACGGTGAGGGATAATATGTATATTTATTAATATCTATCTATCTATATATATATATATATATATAATTGTCTATATACAGGGCGGCAATAAAGTCACTATACAGTTACTGACAATAGAAATTAAAACAAAGCAACTAATCAAGAATATGAATTTCTTATTAAAATGGTTCTAGTTAATGACAATAAAATGTTATGGTAAACAATAGTAAATTTATTACCGATACTATTCGAGCTGCAAGCCACCTGCTTCAATGCTTGGCTTTTTTATTATAAGTAACTGTATAGTGACTTTATTGCCATCCTGTATATATATATATATATATATATATATATATATATATATATATATATATATATATATATATATATAATTGTGTGAGTGTGTATATATATGTATAATTGAGTGTGTATATATATAATTGTGTATATATATTTTTATATATAATTGTGTGTATGTATATATATATATATATATATATATATATATATATATATATATATATATATATATGACATAACGATATATAATTTTGTATTATTTTATATATGACCAAACAGTATTTAGAAAAATATGACAAACTGGAAAGGTTTTTTGCAACGAGTTTCATACGTTATGAATTCATCATATTTTTCTGATGGAATCCTAAAGGAAAAAAAAATTTTCACAAAGTCTATTTCACAAAAAACCTTTCAACTTTGTTATATATATATATATATATATATATATATATATATATATATATTAGATCGGTTCGACCCTCGTCCGGTTCTCACTCCTTTCCTGTGTTTTGAACAGGAGAAAAAATTTATCCCTATTTTTTCTTAAGGATTGTGTTTGCTGTTCCTTCTAAAGTCTGCTAAAGCTTGTTATTTCCTGCCCTGACATAATTCTACACTGCAACCCTTTACATTGAGTGGCTCTTGAACCTTGTCTTGGGTTAGAATTAGTAAAAAATAATTTACAAAAATAAATATAAATAGAGAGAATGTAGCATAAAACATCCAGCTCTTGCCAAAGTTATAAAATATAAATTCACACACGCCATCACCCACAGGCGCTCATACATATACACATACCTATATGTATATTATGAAATGGACTAAGTTCGACAATTATCGTCAATATATTTTTTGTTTAATGCGTCTCTTTTCTCCTATAATTTCTGGATGAAGTGTACATATAAGGTTAATATCGAGCACACCCTCTCCAGGGAAGCAAGGAAACGGAAGGGAGTTTTAAAGTCGGGAAGTGCGAGAAAAGAAACTCTTAGAATAGAAGCGGTGATTACAAATGGGTGGGACCTAGATGCCAATCTAGTGGCACACTTAAATTCACGTAGTCCGGGTACCAGGTGAAAAAAGCTCGTCGGAGCAGTAGCCATAAAAATATTTGTAGAAAAGACGGAGGGAAGCCACCTCACGTCGTTGAGAAAGTGACTGATGTCGAGATGCCAAGTCAGAATCAATTACATTATCTATCTATCTATCTATCTATCTATCTATCTATCTATCTGTCTGTCTCATCCTACCTGTCAAACAAAGTTCTCTGTTCTCTGATTCTTAATATCTAACCTCGTTTTCTCGGTCTATCTCTCTATTGACCAAGCGATTGATCGCTTCTTCTCTAATCTGTCATTCAATTTTTAAAGTCATTATTTAAGCAAAAGGAAATATTTAATTTTCATATTTACTCTGATTAATTTTTTGAAATAATACAAAATTTCCGTGTTGGGAAGAATGAGTTTGTTCATTAGAAATATTGAATATTTATCTGATCTCGAACCCCGAACGCGGGCACTATTGGTAAATCAACAATTATATGTTCCCTCGAAAAAAAAAAGGGGTAAAAACAAAAGAGTTTGATCTTTTACCGTCAAAAGTATATCTCTCCTCCTCTCTCACTCTAAAGTACAAAGGCTAACACACACTCTCTAAATCCAGAGGTAATATATATATATATATATATATATATATATATATATATATATATATATATATATATAAAGAAAGAAGAGTAAGATATATAATCCGGTGTTCTTATAGATATTTTTATTTTTTACAAAATAGTGCTCAATGTAAATTTACAGAGCATTAATATTATAAAATAATTGATTTAAAATATGTTTTTTTCGCTACAGAGTTCTAACCATGTTTCAAAAATGGAAGCTAAAGCCCCGAATTTAATTTTGTAATTAAATTAAAGACATTAGTTCCATTTCATCCTCAAAAAATTCGCTTGAGGATGAAATGGAACTAATGTCTTTAATTTAATTACAAAATTAAATTTGAAGCTTTTAGCTTCCATTTTTGAAACATGTTTAGAACTGTGTAGCGAAAAAAATTTTTTAAATCAGTTAATTTATTATATATATATATATATATATATATATATATATATATATAGTGTATTTAAGCAGCATTCTTTCTTTCATGCAAGCTTCATTAAATATAACAAAAAAGATGCTTTGATTCAGTTTTTTAGGTAAATCTCATATGATTTTATAATGTTTTCTTTTTCCGTAGATATACAAGTGTTTTTATTTTTCCAAAACTTTTTCGGATATAACTTTTGCCATTATCATGATAATTGGGATCTCGCAGGCTAAGTACAAAGAGCAAGGTCTTGGTAAGTGCCTGAACGAGGAGAAGTCTGTCAGGTTTCAAATGTAGATGTCTTCTTAGCCCACACCAAATAGTGGATTGAGGGAACGCAATATCACTGCTAGCTCGATTTGTGAACTTCCGTGCACTACCCTCAAATGCAGCACGGATTCTCGCCACTTGTTCTTCCGAAACTCGTGGTTGTCCTGGACTTTTTCCTTTACACAGACACCCACTCTCTTGAAACTGTTTGAACCACCGAATGTTCTTAGGAGAGGGTGGATTAATGACGAATTTCCTAAGAAAATCACGCTGAACCGTGACAACCGTATTTGTTTTCGTGAACTCCAGAACGCTGAACGCCTTTTGCTGAGAAATCACCACACCAGGGGTAACCAAACAAGTGAACGTTGCTGGAGATACGACACGACTACAGAGCCCTTGTAGCAGCTATTCAAAACTTAGAAAACTCCTGACAAATTCCATAACGATGCTTGAGAACTCAAATCGGTTCATTCATTTTGAATAACCTATATATACATATATATATATATATATATATATATATATATATATATATATATATATGTGTGTGTGTGTGTGTGTGTGTGTGTGTGTGTGTGTATACTCTTTGAATATCCTATATATACTAGCAGCATGGCCCGGCGTTGCACATGCTTGATTCAAAAATCGTACGACTCATACAGTAATCGCTATTACTTTAAAATATTTTTGCCCTTCCTTGCCTTTAAAGGAGTGCCCTTTGCCATGCTGATGTTGCTACATGCCTTACTTCTTACTTATCTCACATTGCGAATTTTTTTCTCAGCTCTATACTAAACATTAAATCTGTTACGGAAAAAGAACTAAACAAAATGAACACAAAACGATCAGCTTTAAAAAAAGGTCTCGTAACTGGAAAAAAATGAACGAAAAAAGAATGTTAACAACAAATACTTTTTCACACCCAACCCATTTCCGCGGAATCAGAATCAACGTTGAGTTTAAGCAAGCGAATGAGCCAATTAGTAAAGTGCCATGCAGATTTAAATTTTTCCCACTTGTGACGAATGCAGCTATCGATTTTTTTTGCATGCTAGCATGCTAGTTAACATTCGTGTCAGTCAGCTGATCGGCTCTCATGCTGGCCAATAGAATCTTCCTGCCTATTCGTGGCAGCCAGCTATAGGCTCTCACTCTGGTTAGTAGAAAATGCCTGCAAACTACAGGAAAACTGTCGTAGAAGCAAGAAAAATCGATTATTTGCACTATCGATGGAAATTGGGAAATGCAATGTCGGTCTTGTCCTTCCCGCTAAGTTGGAGCATGTGCATGTAAATTTTGGTGCAAATCCGTCTAAAATTGCGGCCGTGCATTCGTTACGCACATACACACATCCTACCTCATATATATATATATATATATATATATATATATATATATATATATATATATAAAACAAATCTGTTAAGAGGACGGGAAAATACCCTACCACAAAACGGACGTATATCAAAAAGTGCTTGATGCAGCTGCCTTGAAAAGGACATACAGGGCAAGTAAATATAATAAAGAAACAAAAACACTTTATGTAACCGCATACAACTTTGGTTCTGATCGTCGGGTCTCTTCACGTAGCGGGCAATAAGTGTTTGTAATATCATACTACAATTATTCAGCTATGGCACCGGAATTAGAGAAGGGGAGGAGGTGTAGTTTTTTTCTACACCTAATCACATGTGTGCGTGTGTGCACACGGATTCACACACACGTGTAGATGAATATGCGTGTATAAAACGAAGAAACAAGCGATATTTATTATTTGAGTATTATTTTTCTTTCAAATTGAAAGAAATGAATTACAAAGATTCTTTGAGAAACAGCTTCAAACAAAATATTTTGTGTATATTCTTTACTATACAACAGAATAAATTGCGTTAGTATATAGAAGAATCATGATGCATCTACATAGGACAATGTGGGTGACACTGATCTAGGTTGTTTTATATATACGTATAAATTGTAGCAGTCGGCAGCTGAATAAGCAGTGAGCTGTCTTAATACTCGCTAAGCATTTTGTAATATAATATGCTTGAATAAATGTGAGTAATTAATTAAGGTGCGAGAATTTCAGTTTTGTATAACAAACGAATGACCCCTGTTTAAAGGTTAACTGAAAAATTAATTAGAGAACAAAAACTGATAGCTTTTATTAGGGAAACATCGACTTCAGGAAAAAACAAAAATTACATTTATTAATCTCATAAGTTTATTGGTTGATAAATATTTTCCCAATTTTTAAATATCCATTTTAAAGGGGGGAAATACTGTTGATCATATTTTTGAAGTGATCCTCCAAATTTTCGCAACAAAAATTGTCTGCGAATTCAAAGGATTCCGAGCGTCTCGTATGACATCGCTGATTGGCTAAGATACATGAATGTAGAAATTCAAATTTTAGGAAAAAGCGCAGAAAAATTTTGAGATTATATTAAAATATAAATTAAATTTTTATTTTTTTTTCTACAATTCTGTATTTTTCCCCATATTTTATATATATATATATATATATATATATATATATATATATATATATAAGTTTTCCACGTGTTCTACTTATAATATGTAGATTTAATAGACCGAGAAGACAGACACAGATCAGAGTTAAAATTTATTTCCAATTAAGTTTAAACATTGACAGAATAAGCAGGGATTTACTCAGAAAGTGTAATTTCCACAGGGAGATCTCTAACCAACGACATTCTTCGGAAAAGTAACTCCCACTTCATTAAAATCTATCTATTTGTCCTTCAATATAATGACAAGATTAAGATATAATAAATGCCAATATTGGTATCATTTTCTTTTTTTTTATACTTCAAATTTTATTAACCGGCCTAATAGATCTCTCTCTCTCTCTCTCTCTCTCTCTCTCTCGTTCTCTCTAATATATATAATTTTATAAATCAACAAACAGTACTTAGATAAATATTATGACAAATTGGAAAAAAAAAGTTTTTTGTGACACGTTTCACCAGTAGGATATCATCGGTCTGGCCTTTGTTGATGTTGCCATGTCTACACATGCACATAAAACGAGAGCCGCTGGTAGTTTCAAAATTTTTGAAAGAATATTTTTTGAAAGAATATTTTTTCAGTCTATCCAAAGTCATCTGTATTCTTTTTTTTCTCCATCATCTTTGTACCTGACTATCCTACATAATGATAATAAAAAAAAATCTACCAAGAATAGTGATATATTGTAAAAAGCCTGGACGCAGATTTACAGAGGCTGAACTAGCAATCAAGGCACTTTCTAGATATTTTTGTCTTAGTGAATTAATTAATCTTTTATACAAAGTAGCATTCCCTATGTCAAAATTGTGGTCAGTTTCGTTACGTTGAACAACCAATACGTTTTGTGTGTTGATTTTTAAAATGACCCTTTTGTGTTCATATAGTCTTTTGTTTAAACTTCTTGGGGTTTCTCCAAATGCAGGAATTCTGGCAATTCCTGCATTTGATAGAGTAAATTCTTCCAATTTTTGGTTGGTTGTTTTTGTTTTTTATTGATTAAGTCTTTGATTTTTTTAGATGTAATTGTGACAAATTTTATATTGCGTTTAGATAAATTCTTTTCAGATGTAGTTGTGATAGAGTTAATGGGTAGAATAATATATTTTTTGATTCGTTGGAAAAACCTCAAGAAGTTTAAAGAAAAGGAACATTTTTCAAAAAACACATACAAAACGCATTGGTTGCTTCAAAATGAAAATATTCTTTCAAAAATATTCTTTAAAAAGTTTTCTAACTGCTAGCGTATCTCGTTTCGTGCGCATGTGTAGACGTAGCAGCATAAACAAAGCCCAGTCCGATGAAACAGATTCACCATGATTTTTATCATAACTATATATATATATATATATATATATATATATATATATATATATATATATATATATATATATATATA